CAGTCAGGATTTGGATAATTGAAGACATCTGAAAGAAGAATTTGCTCATCCAAGGTCCTGGGGCTAGGATGGGGCAGGGCTGGGACTGAGCACAGACCCACGTATGTGTGCTTCTCCCTCCAACACTGCGTTGTGGGGAGCTCTACCCTGGCACCTCCTGCCATAGCACTGGGCATAGGCTTGTCCACCCTCTGACACAATGCCCACCGGCAACTGCAGCCCTGGGTGAAAGCCTTCTAGGGAGGGGCAGGTGACAGAGTGGCCCCCCTGAGTTGGCAGAGTGTGGTGGTCACAGCTTGGGCTCTGTAGCCAGATGACCTGGGACCTAACCCTCACTGTGGCACCCACCAGCTGTGTGGCCTCAGGCAAGTCACTTAACCTCTCTTATTTTTAAACATTTTATTTTGAGAGAATTTTAGATCTACAAAAGAGTTGCAGCAAGAGTTCCTGTATACTGTTTGCCCAGTGTCACCTAATGTTAGCATCTGACATTACCTGGTGCATTCATCAAAACTAAGAAATTAACATTGGTACATTGCTGTTCACTCCACTCCAGACTTTATCCAGATGTCTCCAGTTTTTCCACCAATGTCCTTTTTCTGTTCCAGGATCTAATCCAGGATCCCAGGTTGCATTTAGATGTCACCTCTCTTCAATGTCCTCATCTATAACGTGGGGAGGATGGTAATGACATCTATCCCACGGTCCTGCTGTGAGGAGCAAGCGATGGTTCACAGATGTACTGCATTAGCTGGTGCCTGGCACAGAAAAGTGTTCCATTAACTAGAGGTCACAATTCTTATCTTAAGCCCAGTGCTATTGTCTCATGCCCTCTGAGGGCCTATCTTGGAATGCGAGCCCAGGCCTTGCCCACTCACTCAGGGCCTAGGTTATTTTGTGCCCCTCTGGCAGGCTGGGTGGGGTGTCAGCCAACCCAGCCACTATCACTGAGGCCCAAGGGGGCACTCCCTCTAGCCCTACAAACTGGCCAGGGGTCTGGGGCATTGACTAAGGACCCGCTTTAGAATTAGGCAGGCCTGGGTTCAAATCCTGCCCTCCCCAATTAGTCCCTCTGTGAACTCAGGCAAATCAATGAATTTCTCCAAGCCTCCATCGTCCCTGCCTCCCAGGGTGGCTAGAAGAGAGGGTGGTTGACAGCAGGTGTCAGCCTCAGGCAGGGTACACAGCAGCCTCCCTATTTTCTGCAGCCCACTGCCATGCTTCCCAGGGCGAGCTCTCCCCATGCAGTTCTGCAGCTGGGCTCGCCCGGCTTGGTGCCTGCTCGCACTTATTTGTCCACATTTGGACATATGGCCTGGCTAATGGGGAACCCAGTCTGCCCAGTCTGCAGTTCCATCTCCTCTCACTTCCTTCCCCGCCCCTTACGTGTCCCCAGCTGATGCTTCTGCAGAAATGCCAAACCAGGCCATCAGAACCCTCCCTGGAGGGCGGTCTAGGGTGGCACGGCCATATGCACCACCATCCCGGTCTCTTCCCAGAGCCTCTCCAGCACCACCCTCGATCAGGGCTTCTGGTTGACATCATGACTTGGAAAGGAGGGACGCAGGCTGCCAGAGACCATGCTCTGCTGCTCATCTTCTCTCTGGGCTCCTGTCCCGGCTCCAGTGTCTCCTATTTTGGCTCTGCGTCCTACCTTCCCACCCCTCTGGCATGCCCCAGTCCCCTCGGACCCTGAGCCTATGAAATCCTAACAACAAAAATGGTGAGTGTGTGGTAGCAAGGTTCAGTGCTGAAGATTCAAAGTCTGCCTCTGTCACTTCCAAGTGGTGTGACCTTAGGCAAATCCCTTAACCTCCCTGTGCCTCATCTGTCAAATGGCAGTAAAGATTGTACCTACCTCAAAGGGTTATTGAGAGGAGTAAATTAATTAAGGCAAGATGCTTTTATTAACTGATCGCATTAACGTACAGTGCTTAGAACCACGCCGCGGAGCTGATGTTACCATTGTCATTAGCAAGGCTGATACTCAGAGAGGTGGTGGCAGCTGGAAGGGGAACTTCTGGTTTTGGTTTCAGGTAAAATCAGGGCTCTGGGCTTGTATCCTGGCTCCTTTACTTCCTAGCTGTGTGACTTTCGGTCGCTCACTTAAACACCCTTGATTTCCTTGGTTTCCTCATCTGTAAAATGGGGAGGAAAGCAATAACCACTTTGTAAGTTGCCGGGAGGGTGTGATGAGATGATGCGCGGAAGTGCCTAGCACAGAGCCAGGAACAACCCGAAGGCCCTCAGTGGATACTTGGTAGATGGCAGGAGGATGGGTGGAAGTCCCTGCCTTTGCCTGCAGCATGGGACTTCAGAGCTTGGTTCTCGTCCTCAGAAGGGGCTCCCCCAGGGCCTGGGCCGGGGTGGGCCCTGGTATCTCTGGGTTCCTGTCCCAGCTGCAGAGTTCCCCAGCCAGAGCCCACAGGGCCAGTCACATCCTGTTCCTTTTAGGCACCTCCTTTTGGGCCCCAGGGCCCCAGATAGATATCCTGCTATTCATTTAGTCTATGGTGGGTGTGGGGTGGAATATTTAGGTAAAACTTTACAAACAGCTAGACTTGAGGTTGGCCTTGAAGAACAGTACATATGCCAACAGGTGGAGAGAAGAGGGGTGGAGATGGTGTTTGCTGTACACTGGCTGCATTTGTGGATCCAGAGAAGGGCCTCCATGCATCTATGCCCTTTGCAGTGAGGCTCTGCTGCTCCTCTCTACCTTCTGGATCTTGGGTGGCCTCAATATTTGCTTTAGCAGGGAGAAATGCAGCAGAAGTGACGATGTACCAGTCCTGAGCCTAAGCTGCAACTGCCACCTCAGTGTACTTAAGCCTGGGCTAGCCTCTTGGAGCATGAGAGGCCACATGGAACAGAGCCAAGCCAGCCCAGGTGTCCCAGCTGAGGACCTGGACAAGGGGGAGAGCCCAACCTACACCCTGTCTGCCAGCTCACCACAGATGCAGACACATGGGTGAGGCCAGCCAAGGTCAGAACTGCCCTGCTGAAAGAAACACATACTCTTAAGCCACTGGACTTGGTGGTTTGTTGAGCATCACTGAGACCACAGGTAACAGAGACAGTGAAGGTAAAGAGAATGGAGAGGCAAACTCGCAAGAGGGACAGTGTGGGGGTGCCTGGTGGGGGGTGAGCAGCCCAGAATTTCTGATTCATACGGGCCTGATGGCAACTCCAAGTTCCCTCAAGCCAGGAGGCCTGAAGCCTGTGTGGCCAGTGACCCGCCCGCTGCGGAATGATGGATTAAGCGCATGTCTGATAACCGGATTGGCCACCAGACTGCTGGTTGGATGTCTGCCAGGTTCCCTCACAAGCAGGTCTGCCTGATATGTTTTCTCAGCCTGTTTTTTCCTATTTGCCAGAGCCCAGGCCTTTGAAACTCCTATCACAAGGCCGCTTCCACTTCCCCCGTGGATCCTGGTGAAGTTCCTCTCATAGAACAGCGTTTTCTTGATGTTGAGCAACAACTCACAGAAACTCCTGGAACCTGCCTCTCAGCCATGCGCACTGGCGCAGCCCTGCTGTGTGGCCTTAGGCGCCCCTCTCCTGCCCCCGGGCCTCCCTCTACTGCGTGACCGGCCACATGGCCATGCCTGCTGCTCTGTGCCTGTCTCCTCATCTGTGAAATGAGGACACAGTCATGGACCTCATGGCGGGGGGCGGGGGGGAGGGTGGTGGCGAAGGGGACTACTGTGTGTGGTTTGGATTCCTCCTGGCTTAAAAACGGCTTCCATCCCCAACTCCCCAGCTCCCCGTCTCCACCCAGGCCATTTGAACGATCTTAACGATCTTGTTGAAAATCACAGTGGTTTCCAAAGCAAATCCAAGTCTTGTGCGGCTCTGGGCTGAGGGTCCCCACGCTTTCCACCCAGACCTATAATCATCACAGATGTTTAGAGGAGATCGTAAGTATAGAGCTGTATGCTTTAATTCTGCTGACCCAGGCCCCCGCCCTCCTCCCTCCTGGGTACCGGGCTGCCTCCCAGGCTGGCGGGGCTGGTGTCTCTGTCTCCTCCTAACACCCCTGAGATCTGCAGCGACGCCAGGCGCGGCGCTGACCCAGGAGGTGGGGGTGTTTAGAACCCGCCCCCCGGGCTCCCCCAGGAGCTTTGAGTTTAGTAAAGGCAGCAGTCAGTTCCCTGGTAGGCTCAGGGAGGGACTCCCGGCTCAGTCCTCAGCCCCCAACCCCCACTCTCCAATGTCCTTCCCAGACTGATGACCCGCTCTGCTGGAAAACCTGAGGCGAAAGGCACCGCCCCAGAGCAGGGTCTGGAGTGGCAGGACCGGCAGCCAATGAAGGTGAAGGCCGAGCGTTACATCATCACCGTGGTCTCCCATTGGTTGACATTCTAAGCTTCCTGACTCCGCCTCCCAGCCTTGACAATGGGCCTCTCTGGGCCTCCCTGCTCCCCAGGCTTCTGCACCCTAGTGCAAGCGTTGCCGAGAAGGCCACTGTCGGGCAGAGTACTGGGCTAGGCGGCAGCCCGAAGTCTGGGCTGAGCCACTAACTAGAGGTGAAGCATGGTGTTGCCAGGCGTCATCTTCCTCACCTGCAAGAGGAGAGGGTTCCAGCTGTCAATCTCGGGTTCTGCCGCAGTTCATCCACCACCACACACGCGCCCATGAACGTCTTCCTCGCAGGCCAGGGGACCCTGGCCGGTCAAGTGTCTGGTCTGCCATGGGCTCCCTTTCCTCCCCAGAGCCTGGCAGGAAGTGAGCATATGGAATGGTTAATGTTAACTGATGTTTTCTAAAGAGCAGACACTGGGCTAAGCCTTATACGTTGTTTTCTTCGTATCCTAAACATTAGCCCGCCACGCAGCCCTAATTGTTCAGAGACAAGCACTGACTCTGAGGCTTGGCCAGGTTGAGTGATGGCCAAGGCCAAGGACCTGGTGAGGGGGACAGTCAGGATTCGAACCCAGGCGGCTGGCTCCAGACCCCTTCACCTGATGCCACGGGAATGGATGGGGGGCACCAGCCTCGCCATTGTGACTCGTTTGAGCTCTCAGCCCGGCCTGTATCCTGGCGGGAGCCATCCCCGACTGGCTCGGCAGCTCCAGGCTATTCCGAGGAACAGTCTTCAGAGAGCCTGGGTGCTGAGGGGGAAAGTTGTTGCTGAGATTTGACAAGTTTGGTCCTGAGATGTCAGAAAGAATTTCAGCTCTTCTGCCACCCCAAGGATGGTGGCAAGTAAATCACAGTGAGCTGGCTTTTGTCAGGTCGACTGTGGAATTTGATGCTAGCTCATAGCTACCTCCTCTTCCTTGCCTGCCTCTCTCGCTCTCTCAGCTCTAGTTTGAGATCAGCACAGATTCCCTGGGTGATTTTTGAGAAAACTGCCTCCTCTTTAGGACTTGGCATCCCGAACCTCCATCAGGAAAGGGTGGCGACATATACTCTCACACCCAGGGAGACTGCAAGGCCTACCCTCCACTCTCCACCTGGGTTCTCTGGCATCGAGACTTGTGCCCTACAGTTTTGGGCCCTTGAGGTGATGTCCCAGTGGGACCAGGGTGAGGGTGCAGGTATCTGAGAGCATAGTAGGACCAGAACCTCTAACCTTAGGGAGGCTTCCTGGGAGCCAAGCTTGGTGACTTAGAATGTGAATGTCTGACTCATATCCCACTACCTTTTAGTGGGTGCTGCAGAGGACAATGGAGAGGGATTCAACTCTGAAGAGTGGTCTTGTGGAAGAGGTAGCTGGCTTGTTCAGTGTGTCTCTGGCAGCCTCCCTAAGGTTCCCAGGTAGAAGTTTCTGGCAGGTAGATTTCAGCTGTGTTTAAGGAAGAACTTTGAAGTTGTCAGAATGAGCTGTCTTGTGATAGTGAGCTCCCTGTCTGCAGAGGCATGCAAGCAGGGCACTTTCACTTATGCATTCAAGCTGACCTACGCAAGGCACTGTGCTAAGTGCTGGGTGCAGAGGAGAACGAGACCCAGTGGGGAAACAGGCACTTGCAATGCTGCTGTGAGTATGAGCAGAGGTCAGCATGTGGCATCTGGAGCACAGGGAGGGAGTCCTGAAGGCTGCATTGAGGATGAGGATTCAGCTCTTTGCTGAGCCTTATGGTGAACCAGAAGTTTACCAGGCAGACAGGGGCTGGGGAGAGGACTGGCATTTGTCCATTCAGGTTATGTTTTCTGAATTATATATAGAAGGACATGTTGCAGAAGAAATGCAAGTACAGTGAAGAATAAGACTGGGGAACTTTTACAATTCAGAGTGGCCTTCACTGTGGGTGATCTGAATTGATCCCTGTATACAGGTGCTTCTGGGGTGACACTTTCCCTGCTCCATGGAGCTCCAGGAGGAGCGCGGACCACCCCCTTCTTTGTAGGCCCGTCTGTGGGGTGCCGCTCCTCCTCCCACCTCCCCACTGCACAGGCAGCCCATCAGTGTCCATGAGCTGCTCCAGAAGGATGCAGATCTGAGGAGGCTCGGGGAGCGGCGTATCCTAGCAACCTCTGAGGCTGGCATCTGCAGGACTAGGCCCAGACTCAAGGCTCTTTCTAATTCACCAGCCTTCCCTTAATGATAAGCTTTCCCACACAGATGTGGGGGTGGGGAGGAAGAGGGGAGAAGTGGGCAGGAAGTGTTGCCTCCAACCCCATCACAGAGCAGGTCAAGCCTCGCCCACAGCACTGCCAGGGATGGGGGAAGGAGGGAGGGCAAAGGGAGTCCCTTAACTGCATATGCCACTTGTCCATCACCATGGCCAGTTTATCACCGTTTAGAGGACAATGAATCCAGGCAGTGATCATCAATGATAACTAACATCATAAAAAGATAGATGGCTGGACATGATGTTCCTTCTGATGAAAGACCACAACACCTACTGAAAAATCAAACCTGAATCAGATCAAGCCTCTAGAGGTAACTCCCAGCTACAGGAATGAGAGAACCAGGGGGCATATTAATATGTCAAGGTGTTTAAACCTCACCACAGGGAGGCGGCCAGATTTCATCTCAGGCAAAAAATTACAGGTTTCATCAACAACGTGGAAGGAAAAAGAATAAAAGAAAAGAAAACAAAACATAAGGAGAATTTATAGAATAACAGAAGCTTAAGAGAAATATCAGCCAATTACAACATACGGACTTTGGATTCTGATTCTTGCAAACAAACTACACAATAGTGACAATAAAAATGAGACGTATTCACGAGACAATTGGGGAAATTTGAACGCTGACTGGATACTTAACCTCAAGGAATTATTTTTAATTTTTGAGCAATGTGAAAATGGTATTTGAGATTATGCTTAAAAAGAGTCCTAATTGTTGAGGGATTCATACAGAAATATTTGCTGATGAATTAATGAGGCCAGGCACAGTGGCTCACACTTGTAATCTCAGCACTTTGGGAGGCCAAGGCAGGCAGATCACCTGAGGCCAGGAGTTCACGACCGGCTTGGCCAACATGGCAAAACCTCGTCTCTACCAAAAATACAAAAATTAGCCGAGCATGGTAGCACATTCCTGTAGTCCAAGCTACTCGGGAGGCTGAGGTATGAGAATTGCTTGAACCCAGATGGAACCTGTTCCCAGCTACTCGGGAGGCTGAGGCGTGAGAACTGCTTGAATCCAGATGGAGGAAGTTGCAGTGAGTGGAGATCGCGCCACTGCACTCCAGCCTGGGCGACAGAGCAAGACTCTGTCTCAAATAATAATAATAATAACAATAATAATAATAATATGTCTGGGATGTGCTTTAAAATAATCCATTACAGAGAGAAGAAGGAAGTAAAGGTTTAGATGAAACAAGATTTGCTCTGAGCTGATTGATCACTGTGGTAGCTGGGTGATGACAGGTACATGGGGGTCATGATACTACACTATTAATTTGAGTCTTACAAACTTGCGATTATTTGACCACTTTTGACTTTCAAAATGACTTAATGTGGTGCAAACCAATCCTTTGGTGTATGCTGGAAATTTTTTCACAACAAAACATTCTTTTCAAGAAAAAGATGAAGGGCAAACCTGCTTTTTCAGGAGGCTCTGCCCAGGAAAGAGGTACCCGAGACTCTCACTAAAATCTATAGGGCTGTCATTAAAAAAGCCAAAAATGACTCTCAGAGGCAGCTGTAACTTGCATGAATTATTTCTGTTCAGCTAATAATAACAGTAATAGCAATAATGATGATAATAATAATAATTTACTGGTCGCTGTCAGCAAATGCTGAGCAACATGCCTGGATATGTTGGAACTGCAGAAGATGGCTTCATTAATGTCTTAGTTGCTCAATAAGGAACAATAAAAAGTTAAAGGAATCCAAACAAGCAGTAGACCAGGCATCGAATGGAAATTCTTCTTGCTTGCAGAAGGCAGCACCCAGGGTCATTCCTGGAGCATAAACAATCCCTGCAGAACATGGGCTAGAAGACCCCACAGATCCTGGACTGGGATCCCAGCAGTGAGAAGACCCGGACATCAACCCTATTTCATTCTGTGGCCTCTGCAAATCTCCAAACTTGTGGAGCTGTAGTTGCAAGCTCAGACTTGTGGTTTCCTGTACCTGGAGGAGGCCCAGGTCATTCTGTTAAGTCCCTTGTCTATTTCCTGTTTTTATCTGGATGCTGAGTTAACTATTTGATCCAACAATAAAACTAGCAAGGTTTTATTTATTTTTAATGTCTTCTCTTTGCTGAACGCTGTGCTGGGCACTGTAGCTAACATAGTTTTTGTCTTAACAGCTCATGAATCAAATCCCAGCTCCACATTTTATAGCTTTAGACAAGCATTTAACCACCACTTGGGCTTGTTTCCTTACCTGCAAAGTGGGGATAATGACAGTTAATAGCTACTTCATTGTGACTTTGTGAGGATTAAATAAGATAAGGCAGATAGACTACTTAATAGGGTCTGGCACATTGTAAGCCTCAATAAATGGCAGCTATTTTGTATTATTATTATTATATAAAACCATGAGTGTTTAACAATGAATATATAATAAACAGTGATTCTGAATGATGTATGATGTGAGGTATCCTCAAGGACTGGTGTCACAGGGAAGTCTTACACTAGACCTTGAAGGATAAGACCAGAAACTGCTAGATGCTCCCCATTACTGACCCTCCCCATTTCCTTTAATAACAAAGCTGAGGCTACATTTCTTAGCCTCCCTTTCTGCTAGATATGGCCACATGATTAACTTCTGGCCGATGAAATGGATGCACAGGCGTTATGTGGAACTACTGGAAAGGCTGCTTAAAAGGAACTGGTTGAGTGGGAAAGAGAATCCCTTTGTCCCATTTCTTTCTACTGCTGGTCTGGAATCCTGACGTGATGGCTTGAGCCCCAGCATCCATGCTGGGGCATGAGTTAAGGGTTTTTTTAACAAGACCTTGCATATAAAAATATGCACCAGGGATGATGGAGCATGATGGGAGCCTGGGTTTCTGGTGACAGTGTGGAGTCACTATAATGTCCCTATCTCCTTATATTTGGGTATGAGAGTAGTAAGCTATCTTGTTGAAGTCCCCCTTTTTGCTGTTAAATGCAGCCAAGCTTACTCTCAGGGACGGTATTGAAAATATTTAACAACCAGAATGGCACAGGCACTGATGAGGAAGGGTTTAGGGTAGCAGAAGGCTTAGAACCACAAATATTTACCAACCAGTATGGAAGTATTTTAATATTTTAGCAACCAGCTTAGTCATATCAATGCAAAACAGCTGAGACCCAGTTGAATACTAGCCCTGCCTAACCTTAACTAATACAATCAATAATATTTGGGAATAGCTAAAAAAACCAAGAAGATGGCCATTCAGGCCATGAGTACAGCCTGAGTAAAGGTTTAGAGGGTGAATGAAGCTCCATGAGTTGATGTACAATGAGAACTAGAGATCAGCCTGACTTGATGGGAAGGTTCTCTTGAGTATGTGTATGTGAGTATGTGTAGATTATAAGAGGGGCTGGAAGATATCATTGGAAATAACACCAAAGAGGTCAAATAAACCAGACTGGGGAAGCCTGTGAGGATTTGAGGCAATAAGGAGCATTTGTGGGCTTTTGGGTGAGTGAGAGAGCAGATGAGCCCTGGGAGTGAGGAAATTTGGCTTTGCAGTGCCAGGTGGTAGTTCAGTTAGCACTGCAGTGTAACAAGCCATTCCTATTAGTCAAAGAAATCACAAGTCTACCCAGATTCAAGAGGGAGCAGGCATAGGTGCCATCTCCCAATGGGAGGAGTGTCAAGGCCACATCGCAGCAAATCTCGTGGATGGGACTGCTGTAGCTATCCTTGGAAATGACAACCTGGCACAGGCGGTGTCCCTCCTCGCTGGCACCTTTTTTTTTTTTTTTTTTTTTTTTTTTTTGAGACAGAGTCTCACTCTGTCACCCAGATTGGAGTGCGGTGGTGCGATCTCGGCTCACTGTAATCTCTGCCTCCTGGGTTCAAGCGATTCTCGTGCCTCAGCCTCCCGAGTAGCTGGGATTACAGATGTGTGCAACCACGCCAGGCTAATTTTTCTATTTTTAGTAGAGATGGGGTTTTGCCATGTTGGCCAGGCTGGTCTTGAACTCCTGGCCTCAAGTGATCCACCCACCTCAGCCTCCCAAAGTGCTGAGATTACAGGCGTGAGCCACTGCGCCCTGCCACCTGTCTTGTTAAGAAGCCCCTCGGAGTGGGTACCTTCTCTTTCTTAGCAGTTCCAGTCTGCTCAGAAGTATTAGGAGGCTCTCACTGTCTTCTAAATGGGATATGCAGTGTGCACCAAAATTATTTATGGAAACCAACTCTAGCTTTGGTGGAAAATGTCCAAGAAAAAACATAAGCACTGAAGTAATTAGCTAAGATAATTGAAATGAAGGGAATAGTTCAGACTCTTTAAGTATGACTCGAAAATGAAGAGACATGGATTCCTTTTTTTTGAGAAGGAGTCTTTCTCTGTCATGCAGGCTGGAGTGCAGTGGCACAATCTGGGCTCACTGCAACCTCTGCCTCCTGGATTCAAGTGTTTCACCTGCTTCATCCTCCCAAGTAGCTGGACTACAGGTGCCTGCCACCACGCCCGGATCATTTTTTGTATTTTTAGTAGAGATGGGGTTTCACCATGTTGGCCAGGATAGTCTCGAACTCCAGAGCTCATGATCCATCCACCTTGGCCTCCCTAAGTGCTGGGATTACAGGCGTGAGCCACCGTGACCAGCCGAGACATGGATTTTTTTCAGTGAGAGGTGATATAATCCCCATCACTATCCCAAATGGGAAATGGAGTCATTCAGTTAGCAAAATCTTCCAAGTGCCCACTAGATGCCAAGCATCGTGCTAGGTCCAGGTTGAAGATGAAGGTGACCTGCCTCCTACCTGCAAGCTGCTGAAACTTAGCAACGGAAATGACCAAAACATGTGGACAATGATGTGCTAAGTGCTCTGATGGAAGGCAAAAGGTAAGGTGTCCGGGAAGGTGGGAATGATTGGGCTCAAGGAAGCCACCTTGAGCTGAGTTTTGGAGAAGGAGACTAGTGTACCAGGAACTCAGGGGCAAAGCAGGGCAAGGACCTTCCAGGCAACCCTGGTAGCTTCCTGAGGCTGGATCTTCTCAACCATGGCTGAATGTTGATCTGTCACACAGGCCCAAAGGAGAGCTGGAGAGAGACAGACAGACAGATACACACACACACACACACACACACACACACACACACACACACACAGAGAGAGAGAGAGAGAGAGAGAGAGACTGTCTCTTATTATAATCTTAAGATAAACAAGTCAGAAACACAGCAGAGACCAATCATATGGCAATATGAGGCCATTCCATGAAGGGGCAAGCAGCACCCCCAGATCTCCATAAGCCCAGAGAGAATCATCCAATCATATTTAGGGCAATTCTGGGCCATCTGCATTTAAAATAATCTTTTGGATCTATTGTTTGAAGGAGGCACACTTTAAAGAACACTATATCTTAAAGGAAAGTCGATTATCCTTACCTAAGTTTACAAAGGACCTTTTACACATACACTTTGTTTTCTTTTCTTTTCTTTTTTCCCCTGCATCTTCTTAGAGCAAGAAAGGAATACACATATACTTTTTATTTTATTTTGTTTTATATTTATTTATTTATTTAGAGACAGAATCTCTCTCTGTTTCCCAGGCTGGAGTGTAGAGATGGGATCTCCCTATGTTGCCCATGCTGGTCTCAAACTCCTGGCCTCAAGTGATCCTCCCTCGTCAGCCTCCCAAAGCACTAGGGTTACAGATGTGAGCCACTGTGTTAATGCATTTAATCCTCACAACACCACTCTAGGTGGAGGTATTCCTGTGAGTCCCATTTTAGGATGAGGAGCCAAAGGCACCGAGAGTGGTTGAGAAACTGGACTCACACTGAGATCCCTGCTGGAACCAGGAGCCCAATGGGCCCCACCCCCTGCATTCCTCTATGATTTTTCCTCTGTGATGCCTCCTGTCTCAGCCTCCTCCTCGCCATTCCTTTAACCCTGTTCCAGGTCACACTATTTCATGTCTCCTGCGTCCTCCTTTCCCTCAGCTCCTCCCCTCCCATCCACTTCCCGCTATGCCACCAGGGATCTTAATGAAAGTCAAGTGTGGTCCTGTCCCTGAACCTTCTTACCAGCGCCCATATGTAGCCTCAGAATCAAGTGCAGACTCCCCTCCTTGGCATCCTAGGCTGATGCCATTTGGCCCCAACCACATCTCCCTCCTAATCTCTCACCACCCTGTGTGCACCAAATGTGCTAGGCTGCAGTGCCTCTGAGCTTCTACCGTCCCCACAAAGAGCCCAATTGTGAATCTAGGTCTTTGCAATGCTGTTCCTTCTTTCTAGAATGTTCTTTTCTTCTTGAATTTGCCAAATTCTTAGTTCCTCAAGACGAGGCTCAGAAGCCGCCACCCTGTGCCCCACCTCTTGGCTTCCCCAGCCTCCTTCCTCTCTCTCCTGAGGTTGGAGTTTTCCTGCAGACGGAAGCCCTTCCCACACGGCCTTGTTGTTGGCTCTTTATTTGCGTATCTCCCTCCCTAGACCAGGAGCAATTTTAGGTCAGGACAGATCTTACCCATTACCATGGGGCCCGGAAGTGGGGCTGAGCCCTAACACTGGCATATCGGGAGGAGGGGGGCCTAGATTCCATGGCCAGCTCTGCCCCTGGCTAACTTTAGAGCCTGATCAGTGCCTCGCCTCTCTGTGAGAGGAGAGCATTTGTCCAGTCAGTGGTTTTGGACCCTGGGAACCTTGCAATTAATACTGATGGCCAAGAACCACCCCCAGTGATCCTGACTCAATTGCTCCCAGGCGATTCTAATATGTCCCCAGGGTTGAAAACCACTCTGAGTGCTTCCCCGGCCTTGATGTGCACACAAGTCCCCCGGGCCTTGTCTAAGAGTCGTTTCTGATGCAGTAGGTCTGGGGTGGGGCTGGCGTGTCTGCATTGCTCACAAGCTCCCAGGTGATGATGGTGCTGCTGGCCCACTGACCACCAGTGGAGTAGAAAGGACTTAGCCAATCTCTCCCATCCCAATGCCATTGAGATGGAAGAGGAGACCTGGAGGCCTGCAGTTCAAGAAGGAGGGAAAGAGGGGTGGAGGGAAGTAGTGAGGCTGAGGACGTGGTCATACCTGAGTAGGGTGTGGGCAAGCAGCCACCCCCAGGGTGAGAGGC